CAGCCCGCGGGCCCGGCCCGCAGCCCGGCCCGGCAGCGCCCGAGGGCAGCCCGGCACCCGCAGGTGAGACCCGGCTGTCACCGCCGCCCTCGCGGGGCCAGGGTCGGGGCTGGGCCCGGAGCCGCGGACTGGGCCCCGCCGTCCCCCCGGCTCCGCTCCGGCCTCCCGGAGCTGCCCCCCGCGCTCCGGGGGTTCGGCACCGTTTGGGGGGTTAAAAACCTCCCCGCCGAGCCGCTGTCCGGGGCTGGGCCGTGGTCCCGCCGCCTCGTTCCGTGCGGATCTGGGTTAAATCCGCCTGCTCTGCGCGTGACAGTTTCCTTTTGCCGTGTTTTGGTGCGTGCGGGGCGGGCTGGCGGGGCTGGGGGCTGCGGCTGCGAGCTCCAGGTGGTTCTGGACCGCAGCTGGCCGGCCGGGAGTGGCCGGAGCTGTCGGGAGTGGTGGCGGTGGCAAGGTCAGGGGTCAGGTCACCCTTCCTGGCACTCAGATCCCCTTCTTAGGGCTCAGCGCGCACTCCCGAGGGTCTGCTCGCCTTCCGGGGGTCCCCTGCCCGAGGATCACATCACCCCCCTGGGAGTCTGGTCCCTTTCCCGAGGGTCAGGTTCCCCTCTCGAGGTTCTTGTCCCCCTCTTGGAGATCAGGTCAGTCCCGGAGGTCAGGTCCCTTCCGGGGGTCAGATCACCCTTCTGAGGGTCCCCCTTCCTGGGGGCTGGTTCCCCTCCTATGGGTCAAGTCCCTCTGGGCTGTCTGGTCCCCTTCTGGAGGGTCAGATCCCCTTCCCAGGGGTCTGCTCCCCGTTCCCGGGGGTCTGGTCACCTTCCCGAGAGTCTGGCCCGTCCTCCGGGGTTCTGGTCCTGTTCCCGGGGGTCGGGTCCCTCCCGGTGGTCACAGGAGGGGGATCAGTGGTCAGGGTCCCTCTCCTGAGGGTCAGGTCACCCTTCCCGGGGTCAGGTCCCTCCCGGGGGTCACAGGAGAGGGATCAGCCTCCCACGCGTGTCACCCTCCTGGGGACCTGCCCACCTCAGGGTGCAGAGTTTGGCTGTAAATGTCACCGTGCTGCTTTTATTAACGACCAGAAGCCGGGGTAGGAGTGGAGGCCCCGCTGGAATCACCACAAGATTGATCTGACAGGAAAGCGGCTCCTGGCAGAGGCTGGGAGGGCCCTGCTGAATTTGAGGGCCTTGTTTTGCACCAGCTTAAAAAAAAAAAACCAAACTAGGAAGTGAAAAAGAGAAACTGAGAGAACTCGGAGGGGCCTAAGAGGTTTTTCCTTGCTTGATCCCCCACTTGGAAATTAATGTTTTAAAAACTTAAAGGTTGTTTTCATTGTTTATTCTCCTGTCTCAGAAAGGAGAAGGTGGTGATTCCAGCCCTGCCTAGCCCCACAGGTTTGAACCAAGCTCTTAGGAGCAGATTTGTGTTATAAAGCTCAGTTTAAAGCCTGATGAGAGAAGAAACATTTATGTTTTCTCTTATTACTCTGACACTTAAAAGCGAACATGCTGCCAAAATACTTCAGTGGTAAAAAAAAACCCTTGGTGGATGGTAGTATAGGGATTTCCATGGCAACCAATGGTGATCTCATGGGAAGCAAAGTTAAATTTTGGGCTGTCAGTGGGAGCACATCATGGCCTGGGCTGGCCTGGGTGACATTTGCTCGGCAGAAGGTGATGAGGGCTGGGTAGGAACAAACTGGTCTGAAACCAAGGCTTGTTCTCTGTGTGTACACTGATATTCCTGGTGCTCTGTGTGCTTCCTTTGGATTAACGTTGAAATCCAGGGATGTGGGACAAGGTCCTGGCTGGCACCGGGGCAGATTGGTGGTGCAGCAGCAGGTGCCTGTCGGGCAGGTGGTGCAGGAAAGGTTCCTACAGAACCTCACGCCGGGGGAAGGTTTGTTGTGGGATGCAGGAGCTGTGGAGCATCTCCTGCTCAGCCTGGTGTTCCAGGAGCTCTGCGTGTGCTGTGGGAGGGACAGGGTGGATTTCTGACTTCACAAATTGGAAACTGTCAAAAATAATAACGACGAGGCAGCACTGTGTGAGAGCTGCTGCTCGGGGGTTTGTTACCAGGAGAAAAGTGCTCTGTGGGCTTACAGGATTTTTGGGACGCTCCAGGCCGCTGTTGGCAGAGCTTCCCTGGGGAAGAGGGGGCTGGGAGGCCCAGCTGTGTTCCAGAGTGGGATCCCCCAGTCCTGATCACAGCTTCCTGGTTGGATTGGGAGACAGCTGGAGGGAATCCCATCCCTGCTGTCCCCCACAGTGAGATCCTGAGCGAGAAGGGGGTGTTGGTTTGTTAATGCTTCCTCTCCTCTTTGGTACAGAGATATCCCAGTGTTTTCCTGTGGTGCTTTTCCATGCTCTGTGCAGGGAACGCTTCGTTTGAGGTCTCCCCTGAGTTTTCTGGTGGCAAAGGGGACCCAAAACTTTTCTTCCCTGAGCCCAGCAGTGGTATAGAGGAATTCCAGCATCACAGAACCATGGAATCTCCTGAGTGGGAAGGGCCCACAGGGATCATGGATCCAGCTCCTGGCCCTGCACAGACACCCCAGCAATCCCAGCCTGGGCATCCCTGGCAGCACTGGCCAAATGCTCCTGGAGCTCTGGGGCCGTGCCCATTCCCTGGGGAGCCTGGGCAGTGCCAGCACCCTTGGAAAAGAGCCTTTCCTGATGTCCATCCTGTCCCTGCCCTGGCACAGCTCCAGCCGTTCCCTGGGTGCTGTCCCTGCTCAGCAGAGTTTGGGGAGAGCTCGGGGCTGGGAGCAGAGGGATGAGCTTTCCTGCTCTCCTTGCTGACAGCCAGGTGTGCAGGTGGGGCAGCCGTGGCTCCTGTGCTCAGGATCATCACTCCGTGGATGTCATCCAGCAGGATGGTTTAACAGGGGCTGCGAGTCAGAGTGCCTGAAGGGCAGGAGCTGCAGCTCAGCCATAAAAATGGGCAAACTGGAATGCCAGGAAATAGGAGAGTCTCTTGTTGGAGTAAATCTTGGGTTTGGAACAGGAGTAGAACAAGAATAACTGGGAAATTTGGGTGCAAATGGTGCGGGAGAAAGGGGTGAGGTCGGTGAGCTGAGAGCAAAGGAGGAGCTGGGTGCTTCAGTCATAGGATCAAGGAATATCCTGAATTGGAAGGGACCCACAGGGATCCCCCAGTCCAGCTCCTGGCCCTGCCCGGGACCCCCCAAATCCCACCCTGTGCATCCCTGGGAGTGTTGTCCGAGCGCTCCTGGAGCTCTGGCAGCCTCGGGGCTGTGCCCGTCCCCTGAGGAGCGTGAGCCAGGTTGACAGAACTTCAGAGAACTTTACAGGGAGGAAGGTTTGTGGGAGGTCTTGTTTTGCTGGATGCAGAATTCCTGAAGAACTAATTGAGGAGTTAATAGAGTGAGTTAATGAGTGATGGCAGTGCTCGGGCCGGGCTGTCAGACACGGAGCCTCGGCCGGGAGCAGCAGTCCCTCACTCCTGGCCCTGTTTACCGGGAATACAGCCCTGCTCCCAGATACATTTATGGGCTGCAGTGGTTTTACCTCCTTTTCACGGAAAATCCACAGAAGTCGGGGGTTTATGGAAGGCTCAGGGAAGGAATGTGGCCTCTGTGTGACCAGGAGTAGCAACAAAGGCTCTTAAGTGTCTCCTTTGATTCAATATTATTGGAAGCAGGAGTGTGTTGTCTTTCCTGGCTGCTGCTGTGTTTCTCTACTTGAGCTTTTCTTTTTCCCTCTCTGCTCCCTGTTCCTCCCACCATCCTTCCCTCATTCCTGATGGACTTCCCTGCTCCTTGTTTTGATCCTCCCCAGCCGCCAGCACTGCAATAACCAATATTGACATTATTATCACTGCCTGGACTATTTTTACCTGCACCTTAACTCTGATTTGGAGGGAAACTTGGGTAAATAAATATCAGTTATCTCAGGAAATGAAGCTTTTGCAGCCAAACTTGAAAATATCAGACGAAAAAGGCTCGGATTTAGGTGGAATTTGAGTGCCACACATATTGCTGTTGGATGAGGTGTGAAAGTGGGAAGTTCCACCTTTGTGTTTCTTAGTGCCTGTTAGTCCCAGATGGAGCAGAGGCACCTCGAGAGTGACAGTAATAAACATCTGCAGGGCCTGAAGCCTGACCAAAATTGTCATTTTTGTCAGGGGCACCTTTAAACCAAACCCCACGTGGCGCCGAGCCGTGACCGGGGGCTGTCACCACAGCGAGGGTGAGGTGATGTCAGGAGGAAGTGCAGCTCCTCAGCCTGAGCTGGCAGCTCAGCAGCTGCTGGGCTGGGGTTGCTCCTCGCTGTCCTTCTCAGTCTCTCTTTGCTGTGTCCACCTGTTACCTGAGAGCGGGAGCCACTGGGGGTGGCTGTCCCCAGTGTCACGGTACCCACACACCCCATTCCTTCCCCTGGCGTCAGCCTGGGGTGCCTGAGGACACCGGGATCATCTGGGCAGGAGAGGAAGCTGGAAGGCATGAGAAAAAAACCTTCTGGTGAAATGGCAAAGGGCAGGGAGTCACTGGGGGCGGGCAGAGCTCACAGCTCTTCCCTGGCTGGGGCAGTGAAAAGCTTCTCTGGCACAGCTTTCCACAAACTCTCCTGAGCTGGAAGGGCCCACAGGGATCACGGATCCAGCTCCTGGCCCTGCACAGACACCCCAGCAATCCCAGGCTGGGCATCCCTGGCAGCGCTGGCCAAAGTGGGAAGTTCCACCTTTGTGTTTCTTAGTGCCTGTTAGTCCCAGATGGAGCAGAGGCACCTCGAGAGTGACAGTAATAAACATCTGCAGGGCCTGAAGCCTGACCAAAATTGTCATTTTTGTCAGGGGCACCTTTAAACCAAACCCCACGTGGCGCCGAGCCGTGACCGGGGGCTGTCACCACAGCGAGGGTGAGGTGATGTCAGGAGGAAGTGCAGCTCCTCAGCCTGAGCTGGCAGCTCAGCAGCTGCTGGGCTGGGGTTGCTCCTCGCTGTCCTTCTCAGTCTCTCTTTGCTGTGTCCACCTGTTACCTGAGAGCGGGAGCCACTGGGGGTGGCTGTCCCCAGTGTCACGGTACCCACACACCCCATTCCTTCCCCTGGCGTCAGCCTGGGGTGCCTGAGGACACCGGGATCATCTGGGCAGGAGAGGAAGCTGGAAGGCATGAGAAAAAAACCTTCTGGTGAAATGGCAAAGGGCAGGGAGTCACTGGGGGCGGGCAGAGCTCAGAGCTCTTCCCTGGCTGGGGCAGTGAAAAGCTTCTCTGGCACAGCTTTCCGCAGACTCTCCTGAGCTGGAAGGGAGCACAGGGATCACGGATCCAGCTCCTGGCCCTGCACAGACACCCCAGCAATCCCAGCCTGGGCATCCCT